TTTAAAACAGGAGCAGCTAGGATTTCAATTCAAAGGGACATTTTTATGCAACCTATCTTTGCTTCCTGCCCACCGTGCCAATAACCCAAAACTGATAAATTTGCACATTCATGCTTCTGGCATGAGAGTGACGTTATTTGAATTAAAAACTTTAAAGGCGTGTTTCTCGGGTTTTCAGTTTTTTGAGTTATGAAAGTACTGAAGTAAATGAGCTTTATATTCATTTTCATAACATTCATATTGGATATTGAAGTTAATATTCGAACGTTCGCCACAATATTTATTGGGTAATTAAAAAAAAATTTACTTAAAAAAGTTCTTAACTCGTCGATACTTTTCGGCATTCGCGATATTTACTCTGTACTCATGAAAAGTATCGATATTCTCTACTCGGTACTCGTATCGTTCCATCACTACGCACAGTGTTTCGACTATATGGAGGCAGGTGGAAATAATAGTAAATCTGCACCGATTTCACTGAAACTTGACATGTGCTCTAGTTTTACTTAGGAATAGAGAATTATGAAATTTTGTAAAGATGGAATAATTGCCACGCCCTCTACTCTTGTGGGCGGAAACATCAAATTTCATCCGATTTCGATGAAATTTAGTTTGTAGTCTTTATTTTATTATAAGAACCCAAATATAAAATATGGGGAAGATTGGATCACTATAACGTTCAAAACTCACAAAAAATCTTGGCCCAGTCATTAAATGTGATGGAATTTTGGTTAATTTTTGTTTCGTGCTTTCCACTCTCACAAAAAAGGTTATACTATAAAAAGACTTAGGTGTAAATACTCTCTTTTTCCCAATGTTTGGTGAGATTTTTTCACTGCTCGAAAAATTCTTTTCGCGAAATTATGCAAAAAGACGCTGAAAATCAAAAATTAAGAAAATCAAAAATTATATATATTTGCAAAGTCGCGCGCAAAGATCAAATTATATATTCGAAAACTACATAAAATTCTTTAAAACATTCGTCTAATTTTAAGACCTGACGGACTGGTACTCACACATTTTTTACTAATAATCTTTAGCATCTACATATCACAGTAAATTTTTCGGTAAGAAAATAGGAAAGTACCAATAAATGATAAACACCTTCACCTGAATATTCCACGACATATAAACAATTGATTATAGTTGAAAAAGGAACACTTTCTTTAATGGGTTAATCGCCAAAGGCAACTAAACTGATAAGTCGGTATGGCGCAGATTACCGTGTTTTTTTGGAAATTTATCGTTCGTGAAGAAGAGGGGGAGTATTAAAATAAAATTTGGTATTTATGACTTTTACTTTTCCCTCTCTAAGCCCAACCGGTTTTTTTTTATCAACTGTCACCATGACTTTTTTCTACCTGCCTCCATATAGTCGAAACACTGTGCGACGTTGTGAATTGGTGGATATGGCTAATAAATTGTTATGTTGTAGGAATGAAAATTTCGAAGAAAATTCTGTTTTGTAAGTCGTGGCTGCAGCAGAATTAGTTTAAAATCTTGTTATTTTGTTAAAAAGGTACCCCGTTTTTTATAATAATTTCAATTATTGGAATCACTGACGATAAAGGTCTCAGATTTGCTTAATTTCCAGGTGACCTCTTGGAAAGGTTCACCTGCAATGAATAGCTTGTAATTAGTTTTTTTATTAGTTAGCTGAGCTTGGCTTTTCCTATTTGCAGGCAGCCACAATTAATTACTCACCGCTGTCGGTACCATAAGCCGTCAAAACCGTTTTTTTGTTCCATTCCATGCGCTCAATGTGTTTTGATATATTTTTTGAGGCACTTGCAACAAATACAATTTCAATTCACATTCGCAAAATCTCCGCATTGATTATTGCGAATGCGAATGTTAAAATTTATGCGGAAGCTCCGCGGATGCGAATGCGAATGCGAATATTCGCAACAACCCTGGTTGATATCTTCTAAAACTATGTTCACATATCAATATTATCTCAAGCAAAGCTCGTTTTTTAATCGCCCCGTTTACACAGGCAAATCTCAGATTATTAGCCGTCAAATTTGTTGTGCTTGTTATTCTCACATCTCAAGGAAAAGTTATGTTTCTTCTCTGTGATCACGTTTTTCTGCTATAATAAGCAATATNTTTCGCAAAAACAATCGATAAAACTAGGATGGACACCGAAAAGTTATCGGTTAAATCTGAGATTATTTTATAATTACAGATTAACAAGGGACGAATTTTATATGGCTAATCTCTTGTTATAATTACAGATTAGGGTGTTAAGCTCTAAAACGAGGATAATCTACTTATATGTGAACCTAGTATAAGTTTGTTTATTTTATTAAACTATATGGGCATAAATGATTTTCTATACAAAATCACCTCATCATTTCGCAAGCACGTGCTTGCGTTGGAAGTGAGAGAAGGAGACAAAAAGTATGTGTGTGTAGGTATTTCGGCTAACATAATCGCAGCGTATCCCAATAAACACAAAAACGAGGGTGGCATCGTATCGAATTCGAGACGAACTCGAGAAAATAAATTTCTCGAATAAATTTTTTTTGGGCTCGTTTCGAATTCGAGGCGTGCTCGAGTAAATCAGTTTTCTCACAAGATTTTTTTATTGCATCGCCTTCGAGGCACAATCAAGGATATAATATTTTTTTCAAAAATATTCTTTGTTATGAAAATAGAACAAATATAATTTCTTTACATTTTATTTTAGCCCAATAAACACAAAAATGAGGGCGACATCGTATCGAATTCGAGACGAACTCGAGAGAATAAATTTCTCGAATATATTTTGTGGACTCGTTTCGAATTCAAAGCGAGCTCGAGTAAATCAGTTTTCTCGAAAGTTTTTTTTCTTGCATCGTCTTCAAGGCACAATCAAGCAACTAATTTATGAGTGCTCATCAGTGGCGGATACAGGATTTTATTTGAGGGAAGGCGATTGTTGTCAAATAACATTAAATTGCAGGCATCTAATCTTAATTTATTTTTCATTCAAATGTAGGTTCGAGTATTTTTTATGAAGTGTGAAGTAAAGTGTTTTGTGATATAATATTACTTCTCATTTTGTGAATTTGGTGCAAGGTCTAATAAAACAATTCCATGAACTATTTAAAAAAAAACACAAGATTTAAAGTTATACCTTGATGTAAAGTTATACCTTGGATTTTTAATGCAATATATATGTATATATAAATACTTATTTCTTGCTTACAATATTGGTAAAATGAAGGATATAATTAAGTAACTTAACAATTTGTTCAGAATTTTTATTCTAATAATTCAAATTTCAAATTTAATTTTGCGCTTGGCGAAGGGTTGAAAAACTTCTGTCGGAAGTAGCGTTACTAGCTGGAAGTGTGACCAGAATGCGGAGAAGTTTGTTAATCAATGGAAGAGCATAATCGTCGCATTTACCAAGAACTTCTGCTGCTGATTTTGGGAATGGCTTTTCGCTTTCCTTATTTGTCCATCGTTCCAACCACACTAAAAACGGTCTCAGGCTCATTAAAAATTGTTGAATATAATTGTTATAAGGCCATAAAATAACAAAAAAAAAAACAAATAACTTAAGGACATGCAGACCTAAAAGTTAAACATTCTAAAAACATAATTATTAGCAAAATCCAACAAAACCAACAACCACATGATCAAGTGAATTGCAGCGGAATAGCTGCGCTTGATTGTGTTGGCATAACAAAATGAAAAAGTGGGAAAAAAGCAACGCTAATGTACAAGGAGAACTTAGCACAGTGCTTAGGCAACTGGCTGAGTCAGTGAGATCGTCGGTTCGAAGCCTACTGAAAGAAGTCTGATGAGGAAATGTGGTGATTTCCGAAATAGCTATCACTTCTACCATTTTTTTACATTGTTGTTGCTTTTGAACAATAAGTTTTTCCTTAAAAACGGCCTCAAGCTCATTAAAAATTGTTAAATATAATTGTTATAAGGGCATAAAATAACAAAAAACAAAGTTTTAATATATTTTTCAAGTTATTAATATTTTTTGCGCATACAAATGTCTGGTTACAGTTGAAAGTGAAATTTCCTATATTCGTGCACCGCGGAAATATACAAAAAGTAGTATAAGAAAGTTCGATTTGACATACATACATACATTCCTACAGCCCAGAGAAGTTTGTTCTCTGGGAACTTGTTTCTCCCGATAAAGAAATCCTCCAATAATTAACTCCCAGGAAGTAGCATTTTCCCCGAAAATTCGGAAGGAGAAAATTCAAAATTCGCAAGAGCTGCTTGATACTTTTTTGATCCGCAGGGATTTTTATTCATGATAGGAGGAAAGGGAAAAGAGAGAAATCTGCGAGGGAGTTCCTGTTCAGAATCGGCCTGATCTACATACCCATTGTTTTAACTTTTCACATTGACGAAGAGTTTTACGCGATTTCATATTCTATAAATAATCTTGTGCGAACCTAAAAAAATGGTTACGATTGAAAATTAAAATAAAAAAAAACTTTAAATTTTTTTTCAAATTTTTCGTTTGGGGTAATATATTTTATCCGAAATTTTGCTTTTTCGAGCTCTGGGGGGGTGATCGCAATACCTTCTTCCAATATAGCGCAGACCGACTAAAGAAAAAATCAAATTACAAGAAACACGGTGCCGGACAAATTTAACATATATAACAAAAATTACTCTTTAATTAGGTTGTTAAAAATTATATACGGATTCACATTTTTAATAACTTGATTAACATTTTTTAACCTTTGATTATTTACATTATATAATTAATTTCAGATAGCTAGTTTATTAAATCCTATAAAACTTGGGTCGAAAAAAATTACAATCTAAAACCACCAGCGAGCTGAAATCAAGAGTGGAAAAATCAATAATTCTCGAAACGCCAACGATTCGAACAATAAAAATTATAGAATCTCCAACGATTAGAAAAATTAAAAATTCTCAAATCGCCAACGATTCCAAAAACTAGTACTACTCGATTCGCTAACGATAGGTAAATCTCCTACGAATTCGAATTCACCGATCTATCGCCGCGAAGTATCGTCTCGATAGTTCTATCAGAGAAAACGAGGTCGTCTCGGATTCGAGGCGAATTCGTTGTGTTTATTGGGAGTAAGCCAGCTTTATTTAATGCTGCAACGGAACAAAGTAAATATCTGGATTTCAACTGTTTTGCAAAACCTTGGTTATTTCGTGAAATGGGTGTTTACATATAGAGGTGCTAATTAATGTTAAATTATTTGCTACACATTTTCTGATATCCCTAGAAAACGAAACATCCTCTGTTTCATTTCCATTAATGAAATATACATCATTTTCGATTTCTATTGAGTGCATGATATAAACGACGTTATTTTTAGTAAAGAAATTATTTGGACGCTTAAGGGAAAAACATTTAGATTAGTGTTTATACAGGAAAATTTTGTGCCATCAATTCGATCTATTTTAAATTCATTTTCTTTTTTTAAGTTTCCATTAAGACTTGATTCTACCATTCTGTAATAGATTTGAGCCCCAAACTGAGATTTTTTTTGCTTAATAGTGCTCAAATATTTTCAAATTTAAAAGCGCTAAATTAATGAAGAGGTCCTACGATCTACGCAATCTGCTGCTAAATGTGTCAAACAGTGCATATTATACGTTAAAATAGATTTGCTGTATAACAGTGGAATATTTTAAACAAAACGACATAAGAGTTTGTGTGCTAAGTCATAGGAAAAAGTATCTTTCGAAAGAAAAAGTCGCATTGCAGTACTTACGTCTATAAAGTGTTCGTATCAGTTGTTACTTAAAACATTTCTCAAAATAATTGGTCCGGTATATAAGATGAAGTTTCTAAATTCAGTAGCCTTCCATCTTTCAAATTTAATCACTGACCGCGGTTGTCTCGCAAATTCATAGGGCGTGTTTTTTCTGTTTTTAATAAGTCGAGAGTTAAGAACCCGTAATTTTGAAGAGCTTAATGAATATTACTCTTTCCGTTGTTTAACCCAGTATTTACTTCAGCCAACGATTCGCAAAATAGAAATTCTAGAAAATCCAACGATTCAAAAAAATAGCAATGCTCGATTCGCTAACGATAAGTGACTCTCCTACGAATTCGAATTCGCCGATCTATCGTCGCAAAGTATCGTCTCTATCTATCTCTACTATCAGAGAAAACGAACTTGTCTCGAATTCGAGGCGAATTCATTTTGTTTCTTGCATACATACGTACATATGTTGATTGCCTTTAATGTGGATTTGTTTTTCTTTTAGTAATCTATGTGTGTATGTACGTATGCATATGAATGCATAATACGCGAAAAAAATTTTCGCCACATCAGATCTGTACCGTTCGTTCGATTTTACAAAATGAGGTATCAAATTAAACGGCTTGGTCTGTGTATGTGCAATAACTTCTTATTTTTCAAAAAGAGTTGCCACCTGATAAAAAAAATGAAGTTCAAATTATTTTAACGTTAAGTTAAATCAATTATTACAGTATGAGTATCGATCGAAATGGTTTTGAAAAGGCTTTATTCCTTAAATGTATATCCTGATATGTATGTCCAATGAAAGAGTGTCTAGTTGGAAAATATTTTTCAGAGGGTTGCCACCTTGTCACAAAGTTAGATTCAATATAAGCAATAGGTTAAATAAATTACTTCAATGAGAATATAAATCAAAATGGCTTTAAAGAAACTTTATTTCCAAACTGCATGGAGGAGTGTTGCCACCTGATTTTATAATTGAATTCAAATTGAATTAAGAGGATTAGTTAATTTAAATATCTATCACAATACAAGTGTCAGACGAAAAAGGTTTAACGAGGTTTTGATTTAAAAATAATTTGAACAGGATTGCCATCCGTTTGAAAAGTTGAACTAAATTAAATTATATGAAATATTGAAATCAAAGGAGCATTAAGAAAAATCCAGTTTCAGCATCTATAACATTAAAGAGGGTTTCCACCTGTGTAAACTCAAATTATTGAATAAGTCAAATGAATTATTAAAGTATGGGTATAAATTGGCATTCGTTAAAAATGTTTTTTCCTAATTTTATTTAAGAGGGTAGCCATATGTTTTAGAAATTAAATTCAACTTGAATTAAGGGAATTAGATATACAATTTAAATATGTATCGCAATATGTGTGCCAGTCGAAAAAGGTTTACCAAGGTTTTGGTTTTAAAATAATTTTAATAGGGTTGCCACCTGTTTTGAAATAAGAATTTAATATAGCATGCATAAGTTAAATTAAATATTAAAACATGACGTGAAACGAAGGTGGTAAGATAACCTTAGTCTAAATATTAAAGAGGGTTTCCACATGTTTAAAAAGCTAAACTCAAATTATTTAATAAGTGAATGCAAGGCTTTATTTCTGAACAGTATTTAGGAGCGTTGTCACCTATTTAAAAAATAAAGTTTAACCTAATTCATCAAGCACATGAAATATGTAGGTATCCCAATATCAGACGTAAGCTGATGGTACATATGATTGAAGTTAATGTGGATCTGCTTCTGTATTGCTAAGTATTAATGATTAACCGACTTCCAAAAAAATAGGAGGTTATCAGTTCGTCGGAATAATTTTTTTTATTTATTTATTTTTTTATGTATGTTACCGCATAAAGGCCTCTATGAAGCTCTCAAGAAAAGCAAAAACTCCATTTAATGACGTACAAGAAATGGCTAAGAAATTTTCTTGAGTCAAATTTCCTTAAGGCAGTACGCAGTTCTTAAGAAATTTACTACGCTTTCTACTACGGTTTCCTAAAGATTTTTATGAAAAAAGAGCACAAGGCAACCCAGGTTCCATTATTTCTTGAGGAAAGAGTGAGGCAACAGGCTGTGAGGTATAAAAATGTCAAAATTCCTTGGACACCAACGCGAAATAATGGCAATTTTTTCTTGACCGTTTTCTTGAGAGCTGCATACAGGGCTTAACTTTAGACCACGTCAACCGATTCTTCCGATAATTCTTTTTGCAACGGAAAGGTAGTGTCTCAGAGGTGGTCCCATACTAATTTGGTTGGTTTAGATTTTTTTAAGTCGGTTTTTTTTTGCGCTAAAAATTACTTGTTTTCAATTCATATTGATTTATTAATTTCAATTCAATAGAATCAAAACGAATATTTCATGTACCGTCTTTACTTGAATGTGATCTTAATAATATCACGTATTCTACATTTAAGTTTAGCGGGCGTGTCTCCGACACAGCCTGCAGGTCAAGACGAAAGCGCTGGACTGATCATTTTATTCAGATATCTGTTGGGAGTTGCGAGTAGTCCCTCGAGAGTTCTAACTAAAACTCTTATAAAGTTTTTTGTCCGACCAATAGTAAAAGAGTTATAAGCAAAAACAAGGAGAAAATTTTTATCAACAAAAAAACTGTATTTGCTTTTTTTTCATAGTTCTGTTGAGAGTTCTGAGTAGCCCCTCGAGAGTTCTAACTAAAACTCTTATAAAGTTTCTTTGTCCGACCAATAGTAAAAAAGTTATAAGCAAAAGGGGCAAATTTAAATAAACAAAACAATTTCAATGTTTTTTAGAGTTATGTTGAGAGTTCTGAGTAGCCCGCCGAAACATCTAACTAAAACTATTATAAAGTTTTTTGTCCGACCAACAGAGAAAAAGTTATAAACAAAAACAAGGGACAAATTTTTATTAACAAAAAACGTTAATTTGTATTTTTTTTCAGGGTTCTGTTGAGAGTTCTGAGTAGCCCATCAGGAGTTCCAGCTAAAGCTCTTATAATTTTTTTTGTCCGACGAATAGTAAAAAAGTTATAAGCAAAACCAAGGGGCAAATTTTTATTAACAAACAATTTTCATTTGTTTTTCAGAGTTCTGTTGAGAGTTCTGAGTAGCCCGCTGAGAGTTCTAATCAAAACTCTTTAAAGTTTTTTTGTCCGGCCAACAGTAAAAAAGTTATAAGCAAAAAGAAGGGGGAAACATTTATTATAAAAAAAAAATTTATTTGTTTTTTATTTTCAGAGTTCTGTTGAGAGTTTTGAGTAGCCCATCGAGAGTTCTAACTAAAACTCTTATAAACTCTTAATATTAACAAAATATTAACAAAAAAATTTAATTTGTTTTTTCAGAGTTCCGTTGAGAGTTCTGAGTAGCCCCTTCGAGAGCTCTAACTAAAACTCTCATAAAGTTTTTTTGTCCGGCCAATAGTGAAAAAGTTATAAGCAAAAAAAATGGGCAACTTTTCATTAACCCAAAAATTTAATTTGTTTTTTCAGAGTTCTGTTGAGAGTTCTTAGTAGCCCCTCGATAGTTCTAACCAAAACGCCTAAAAATAAAGTTTGTTTGTCCGCCCAGTAGTAAAAAAGTTATAAGCAAAAACAAGGGGCAAATTTTTATTATCAAAAAAATTGTATTTGTTTTTTTTTTTGTCAGAGTCCTATTGAGAGTTCTTAGTAGCCCCTCGATAGTTCTAGCTAAAAGCCTTATAAAGTTTGTTTGTCCGACCAATATTAACAAAAAGCAAACCCAAGGGGTCAATTAAAAAAAAAATTAATTTGTTTTTTTTTCAGAGTTCTGTTGAGATTTATGAGTAGCCCCCTGAGAGTGCTAACCAAAACTGTCATAAAGTTTTTTTGTCTGCCCAATAGTAAAAAAGTTATAAGCAAAAACAAGGGGCAAATTTTTATTAACACAAAAATTGTATGAGTTTTTCAGAGTTCTGAACAGTTCTAACTAAAACTCTTAGAAAAATTTGTTTGGCCGACCAACAGTAAAAAAGTAATTAGCAAGAACAAGGGGCAAATTTTTATTAACAAAGAAATTTAATTCATTAATTAATTTAATCATTGTTCTATTGAAAGTTCTTAGAAACCCCTCGAGGGTACAAAATAAAACTCTTATAAACTTTTTTTGTGAAAAAGTTATAAGCAAAAACAAGGGGGCGAATTTTTATTATCAAAAAAATTTAATTTGTTTTTATAAGAGTTCTGTTGAGAGTTGCGAGTAGCCCATCGAGAGTTCCAACTAAAATTCGTATAAAGTTTTTTGTTTTTAAGCAAAAATTAAGGGAAAATTTGTATTAACAAAAAACTTTATTTGTTTTTTAGAGTTATTTTGAGAGTTCTGGGTAGCCCATCGAGAGTTGTATTTAATATTCTTTTAAAGTTTCTTTGTCCGTCCAATAGTAAAACAGTTATAACTTATAAGCAAAAACGAGGGGCAAATTTATATTAACAAAAAAATTGTATTTGTTTTATTTTCATAGTTCCGTTGAGAGTTCTGAATAGCCCATCGAGACTTCTAACTAACACTCTTATAAAGGTTTTCTATCCGACCAATATTAACAAAAAAATTTTATTTATTTATCTTATAAAGTTTTTTTTTGTCCGACCAATAGTAAACATGTTATAGGCAAAAACAAAGGGAAAATAGTAAAACAGTTATAAGCAAAAACAAGGGGCAAATTTTTATTAACAAAAAAATTTAAGTTGCTTTTTCAGAGTTCTGTTGAGAGTTCTCAGTAGCCCCTCGAGAGTTCTAACTAAAACTCTTATAAAGTTTTTATGTGCGCCCAATATTAAAAAAGTTATAAGCAAAAACAAGGGGCAAATTTTTATTAACAAACAATTTATTTTGTTTTTTTTTTGTAGAGTTCTGTTGAGAGTTCTGAGTAGCCGCTCGAGAGTTATAAGGTTTTTTTGTCCGACCTATAGTAAAAAAGTTGTAAGCAAAAGGGGCAAATTTGTAATAACAAAAAATTTAATTAGTTTTTTTCATAGTCCTGTTGAGAGTTTTGAGTAGCCCCTCGAGAGTTCTATTTAAAACTCCTATAAAGTTCCTTTGTCCGACCAATTGTAAAAAACTTATAAGCAAAAGGGGCAAATTTGTATTAACAAAAAATTTTCATTTGTTTTTTAGAGTTCTGTTGAGGGTTGTGAGTAGCCCCTCGAGAGTTCTAGCTAAAACTCTTTTATGGTTTTTTAGCCGACCAATAGTAAAAAAGTTAGGTATAAGAAATACAACGGGTAAATTTTTATTAACAAAAAAATGTCATCTATTTTTCAGAGTTATGTTGGTTGTTCTGAGTACTCCCTGGGATTTCTAACCGAAACTCTTATAAAGTTTTTTTGTCCGCCCAATAGTGAAAAAAATATAAGCAAAAAGAAGGCGAACATTTTTATTAGCGAAAATGTTCATTTGTTTTTTCAGACTTCTGTTAAGGGCCCTGGGCTACAAAGAATTGCACTTGTTTTTTATAGTTCTGTAGTTCTAACTAAAACTCTTATAAGGTTTTTTTTCCGACCAAGAGTAGTAAAAGTTATAAGCAAAAACTAGGGGCAAATTTTTATTAACACAAAAATTCCATAGTAAAAAAGTAAAAAATAGTAAAAAAGTTATAAGCAAAAACAGGGGGAAAATTTTTATTAACAACAAAATGCGTGTGTAACACCGTACACATGATAGAAGTGAAACTTCTTAAAAAAGGTGTGAGTACCCAGGCATATGTGTAAACATATGTTTATGGTTCGGCAAACCATTAGGCGATTGAGTTACATACATAGGTTTGGTTAGAAATCAAACAATAATTTCATTTCATCTTATTAATTTTCTGATATACATATAATTTATTTATTCATTTTCCGGTAACACCATCTTATATGAATTCGAGCTTCTACCACCCATAGGACCGGGTTGTAATTGAAGTAATTGTATGTTTAACAAATAAATGAAAATGTTTATAATGCAATCAATAGATCCTTACGAATTCGGCATTACCAAGGCACTAAGTAACGTACGCACTTTTGTTTGCAAAATGCATTTATTTAAGTTGAAAGAAGACAAATTCCTTTTTTCGGCATTTATTCTTACCCGCTTTCTATCTTCCAAGGCGAATTCATATATTCTTATCACGAATTCATATATTCATGTGGCAGCAAGAGTATAAAAACATAAAATTACCTTATAAATCAAAAGCATAAGTATCACATGTATGCGTAGTCCAATTCACGAAATCATTTCATCGATCTGAGTAAAAACTAAGTGCATAAACTCTATTTCGCGTTAATTGAAATCATGAAATGGTGTTCATTCAATCAGATTCTTCTCAAACGCATGAAATGATTTCATGAATTGGCCTACGCATAATGGTAGTAAATGACAGAATGAATTACAACAAACACATCCTTTTGACATAATGCAAGCCGAAAACGTTGGTTCAAATCAATCCGCAATCAAGTTGGACGTTTTGCCCACAAACATTGCAATTTTGCGAGCAGTTTCATTGTAAAATCTCATTCTTACAATTTCATAGTTTCGGCTTACATTTATAAAATTCAACGAAAGCACGTACCTAATTCGGCTGAGTTATCCATTTTTGGTTATTTAGTGTACAAAACAAACGAAAATTGAATGAGTTTGTACAACATGCCAGAAAATCCAAATTTATTTCTTTCTTCAACCAAGGCAATTCATTCAACAGGCCCACAAACGGTGCAATCTAGAGCAAAACAACACCAAGTTGAACCAACGGTCGCTACGTTTAACATCGGGCGAAAATTGCAAATGCTCCCGTAACACTACCTTATATACATAAGTTGGCCTTGCTATCATCTTCATATATGTTCATGAGAGTATACTAACGAAGTACGAGTTTATACAAGGAGATAGCAAGAGCACAAAACTACTCTAGAAAATTACACGCACAATGACAAACATAAACAAATGTACAACAAACACATAAACATGAACAAATGTACAACAAACATAACTGTTGACAATCAGTACAGTTCGCATTTATATCAACGAGCAGCTTATTAGATTTGTTTTCGTTTGTACTACATATGTGCATACCCCGCAAAAAATTGGGCGACTAATCTCTAAAGAGAGTATTCCGAGATTACGCTCAATCGGGTACAATTGGGCATTAATTAGTCGCAACTAGTCTCATAGGGGTACTAATGGAGTGCAATTAGTCTCGACTCATCCCTTATGGGTATAATTGGAGATCAGTTAGTCCCCAACTCATCTCTAACGGGTACTATTAACGATTTAATGATATGTACGCACTTAGTCAATGAAATTTCATGTGCGGCGTTGGCACGCAGAGACAGTATTCGCCTGACAAAACTGAGCACCCCGGTTCGAATCTCAGCTGGCGCAAATTTTTATTTTTATTTTTTAAAAGTGACTAGTCGCTTTTTATACCCATTCGGGTATAAAGGTGAACAATTAGTCTCTTCATAGGACATGCTCGAACAAAAGCGAATAGTCCATTCCATATAAAGAGATCAAAAGTGGTATTAGTCGCATGCTCCTTTCCCTGCAAAAAATTGTGCGACTAATCTCTAAAGCGAGTATTCGGAGAACAAGTCCTAAATTCTATATTTCCGAACCAGTTCTAAAATCGACAGACGAAAGAAAAAAGTATCATGATTTTTAAATCTTTTTGGTTATTCCGTGTGTGCGATTTTAAGTTATTTTGAAAGAAATGTGTTTTCAATTTGAAATTAAATTTGTTTGAATGATTGTAAGAAATGTACGTTTACATACCTTTAGCTGTAGCTGAGTCTGCAGAGGAGCTCGCTGTTAAATTCCAAACAGTACCAAGATGTTGAAATGTTAACACATATTTTGGTTTTGTATTACCAAGCTATGAAAAAGCATCTACGAAATGCACAATAGAAGCGTGTTTGAACGAAAAAGCCGCCAAACACATATCTATGTAAAGTAAACAAGCCCCCTGCTGCATCCCTTTTTCGATAGTTCCGAACTAGTTCTAAATTCGACAAATTAGATCTAGTTCGTTCTGCATCTCTTTTTCTATAGTTCCGAACCAGTTCTAAATTCGTCACTTTAGATATAGACTTCTAGTGAAAAAACTGAAAAAAGTTAGTTTTTTAAAAGTACCACTTTTCGCTGATATTGGACTGGTGGGGATCTAGCTCCTATCGGACTAGTTCCTTTTTGACGATAAAGGCCTAGTACGAAACTAAAAATATTATTCACTAGTCCGTGGTTTCCGTGCAGGGTACACAAACATATGTACATACATACATATGTAGGTATATACAACCATTCAAACATATGTACATACACATTGCTGTCCATACCCTGTAGGGAAACGAACTAATGCGGAACTGGTTCGGTTCTAGTGCGTTTGGAACCATGACTAGTACGCGTTAATTCTATTTTGCATGCTAGCGGCTGGCGAATTTAACATTACGATGTCCTAGGAAGTGTCAATTGTCCCCCGTTGCATCCCTTTGGCTCTAGTTTGGCTCTAAAACTCAATAATAATTCATAAAATAATGATTAAATGCCGATTTAAATTATTTTACTCATAATGATTACCTTCCCCGCTTTTAAAATTTAAAATAGAATAGTTTAGTGAAAGTACCACTTTTCACTGCTTTTGGACTGGTGCGGAACTAGTTACTATCGGACTGGATCGTTTTTGGCAAAAAAGAACTAGTTCTGAACTAGAAATCTGGTACAGGGTAAGTACATACATATGCCCAAAAGTACATCAACGAAGCCCGTTTGCTTCATCATAAATATATCCATACAAACATACCCTGCAGGGAAACCGCGGACTAGTGAATCAAATTTCCAGTTCCGTACTAGGTCTTTATCGCCAAAAAGGAACTAGTCCGATAGGAACTAGATCCCCACCAGTCCAAAATCGGCGAAAAGTGGTACTTTTAAGAAACTAATTTTTCAGTTTTTTTCACTACAAATCTATATCTAAAGTGACGAATTTAGAATTGGTTCGGAACTATAGAAAAAGGGATGCAGAACGAACTAGATCCTATTTGTCGAATTTAGAACTATTTCGGAGCTATCGAATAAGGGATGCAGCGGGGGGCTTGTTTACTTTACATAGAAATGTGTTCGGCGGCTTTTTCGTTCAAATACGCTTCTATTCTGTGCTTCGCAGATGCTATTTCATAGTTTGGTAATACAAAACAAAGCTTTGTGTTAACATATTAACATCTTGGGGCCGTCTGGAATCTAACCAATAACAGCGAGCACCTCTGCAAAGTCAGCTACAGCAAGGTATGTAAACGTACATTTCTTACAATCATTCAAACAAATTTAATTTCAAATTGAAAAAAAAGTTTCTTTGAAAATAATGTAAAATCGCACACGACAGAACTGAAAGGTTGAAAAATCATGATACTTTTTTCTTTCGTCTGTCGATTTTAGAACTGGTTCGGAACTATAGAATTTAGGACTAGTTCGGAACTATCGAAAAAGGGATGCAGCAGGGGGCAATTGACACTTCCTAGGACATCGCCATGTTAAATTCGCCAGTTGCTTGCATGCAGAAGAGATTTATCGCGAACCAGTACTGGGTCTAAATGTACTAGAAGCGCCCCAGTTCAGAACTAGAGATTTTCCCCACGGGGTATGTACATATGTACGAATTGATGTAGTTACGCGAAGTACGCTTGCATCAATTATACATATATTGCTTGGTAACGGCAGAGCTGAAATGCGCAATGAGTTCGTTCATACATACATATATAGCATTGACGCATTAAGTTAAGCTTTTGGCAAATAAAATTAATCTTTTGGCAAATAAATTTAATCTTTTGGCAAATAAATTTAACCTTTTGATAAATAAAATTAACGTTTTGGCAAATAAACTTTATCTTTTGGCAAATAAAATTAACCTTTTGGCAAATGAAAATAATCTTTTGGCAAATAAATTTAATCTTTTGGCAAATAAAATTAAACTCTACTATAGTACTAAACAGTGTTTGAGAAAGTAAAAAATACACTAAAAAACTGCTGTTGCTGTGCTAGGAATAGTCCAGTCGAATCGTCGTGAAAAAGGGCCTCAGTTTGCAATACCATGGACGAATTTAGTTATGAATAGAATTGAATAGGGGGTTATAAAAAGAAGTTAAATCTAAATTTGCAGTGCTGTGCGAATGTTTTTTGCAAAGTTATGCAAAAAAACGTTTTTCTTCAAAAAAGTATTTGAACTATCAAGTGTAAAAATGGGAAGGAACTGAGTAATTTGCGAAAAACATACATCAAAAAAGAAATTTTCCACTTTGATGCTTAATAGTTTTTTATCTATTTGTTTAACGAAAAAATTGTTTGCATGAAAAAAATTAGGAATTTCATTACAAGTAGAATGATATGTTATTCAAATAGTAGCCGAGATATTCGCAAAAATATGAAGAAAAACGTTTTTTTGCATAACTTAGCAAAAAATATTCGCACAGCACTGCAAATTCAGATTTAACTTCTTTTTATAACCCCCTCTTGAATTCTATGTATAACTAAATTCGTGCATTGTATTGCAATCTTAAACTACCATTCGAATGGACTAGAAAGCATTTTTTTTTACTTTTGACGCTTAGTTCTACTGCGCCAATATTAAGAGTTAAGCTCCAGGATAGCTGAAAAGTGTTTTTTGGTTTTTCTGTTCTATTGATTTGACTATTCACTTTCAAACAGTTCTGTCACAGCATGGTCTCAACTATTCGTCAAACTATCTGGCGCATTTTATTTCAACCAAACCACGCGTTATGGCCAAATGGGATAAAAAAACATGAGTTTTTGAATGATTATTTTTGACTCGATTTCAATGATCGAATGCCATCTGAGAAGAGGATATATAGGCCTTTAAAATGTTATTTATTAATATATTTTTGGACTTGACTTGTTGGGATTTTTTATGGAGTAAAATAGAAAAAAACCCATATTTCTCTTAATTTTTTAAATTTTGACCATTACTAATTTCCATAATTTCAAAATATGTAGTACTGTCTTAAATTAAATCTATTTTCAAATAAACTGATACCTCATTAATTGCAATCGCATTAAAATTGTCGAATTTAGGAGACTTTTCTTAAATACGGCCTTGAATTTATATTGTTTATGTACCGGGATTTCAGATTTTTTGAGCAGTGTGGCTAAGAAATTCATCAATATTTATTCAAAATTGATATACATATACAATCGTTCTTTAGCAAAGAAGTGCTTTTTCAGGAATTTTTAGGAAAATGGGGGTGGCACCGCCCACTTATATGATATATGCGTATCTCAAAAACTACTTGACACTTGAGCACAATGTGTATACCAAATTTGGTCGAAATTTGGTTTGAAAGTTTGCTCACAGATAACTTATGACATAGACTGGAAAATAGGCAACTTTTTTAAGAATTGCCACCTGTTTGAAAATGAAATTTTGCTCAAAGATGGTTTATGACCTGGACTGACCGGGTTTCCGATCAGAACGAAATTTAGTACACTTACTACGGATTTCGGAAGGATGGTCTTAGACTGAAAGTAAGTCCGATAACTCAAGGCCCCCCCCATACAAATTGGAATTTTCATATTACATACATATCTCTGGAAGTATTTGTGGGAGAGAACTGAAACTTGGTATAGTGATATGTATGTGAAATCAATGTTGGCATTAATCGATTGATGTTTTAATTAGTTAGTTAATTCGATTAAATTCAATCTGATTACAGTTAATCATGATTAATTTTAATCCGACTAAACAGTTA